GGGTACCGTCTACGACACTATGGTACCGTTACGACACTAGGTACCGTCTACGACACTGGGGCCCGCTTACACACTATGGTACGTCAAACCACATGGACCGCTCGACACTAGGGTACCGTCTACGACCTATGGTACCGTCTACGCACAGGTACCGTCTACGACACAGGGACCGTCACGACACATGGTCCTCTACGACACATGGTACCGTCTACGACCAGGACCGTCACGACACTTGGTACCGTCTACGCACTATGGTACCGCTACGACACTATGGTACCGCACGACACTAGGGTACCTCTACGACACATGGTTCGTCTACACCTAGGTACCGTCTACGACACTATGGTCCCTCTACGACACTATGGTACCGCTACGACACAAGGGTACCGTCTACACACTATGGACCGTCACGACACTAGGGCCCCGTCTACGAACTATGGAAACCGTCTACGACATATGGTACCGCTACGACAGGATGGCACCCTCTACGACACGGTAGTACCGTCTACGACACTATGGTACCGTCTACGACACTATGGTACCGTCTACGACACTATGGTACCGTCTACGACAGGATGGCACCCTCTACGACACGGTAGTACCGTCTACGACACTATGGTACCGTCTACGACACTATGGTACCGTCTACGCAGGAGGCACCCTCTACGACACGTAGTACCGTCTACGACACTATGGTACCGTCTACGACACTATGGTACCGTCTACGACACTATGGTACCGTCTACGACAGGATGGCACCCTCTACGACACGGTAGTACCGTCTACGACACTTTGGTACGTCAACGACAATATGGTACCGTCTACGACAGGATGGCACCCTCTACGACACGGTAGTACCGTCTACGACACTTTGGTACGTCAACGACAATATGGTACCGTCTACGACAGGATGGCACCCTCTACGACACGGTGGTACCGTCTATGATACTGTGGTACCGTCTACGACACGATGGTACCATCTACAACTCAATGGCACCGTCTACGACACTATGATACCGTCTACGACACTTTGGTACCACATACAACACTATGGTACCGTCTACAACACTATGGTATCGTCTACGACACTGTGATATCGTCTGTGACGCTGTGGCACCTTCTGTGACACTGTGGCACCTTCTGTGACACTGTGGCACCTTCAGTGACACTGTGGCACCTTCTGTGACACTGTGGCACCTTCTGTGACACTGTGGCACCTTCTGTGACACTGTGGCACCTTCTGTGACACTGTGGCACCGTCTACCATTGGAAACGTAAATATATCAAGTAAATAAAAAGCTTGAAGGAAAATTACTGACATTCCTGCTTGAGGCTGTTTAAATATTCTCCTCCTGCCATCCCCATCTTCTATAAGTAATTATGCTTATAATTATGCTTATAATTATTATTATGGATAATGTACACAAGATCACAGAATACATAGATGGTACAAGGAGGTGATTATCATATCTAACAGAATTTTAGCATTATTCAAAATACTAAAAATCTGTTATACATAAATACACTGGTGAGTTTGTCAGTACTTAAAATATTAAAATTTTTATCTAGATCATCAAAGATGGGACGCAGATCCAGAATACAATAGGCATTACCTCTCTGAACCGCCTCACTCAGATGCTGGAAAAGAAAACTAGTTGCCCTGTGATTTTTAACTGAACCAGTAAGTCTTTTTGCTATTTCTTCGGGAACGATGATGCTCTCTTTTTCCCATAAAGACCGGAGTCTGGGAACCTATAAGAAGAAATATGTAATAATAAGCAAGTTCACTGTACTTTCCAGACTTTTGGGACTCCTTGAAGCTGGAAGCTGCACCTCCTTCATTCATGCTGTACTGGACAAGGTGTAAGCCAGTGTGGATCTGCATTTTTAGTCCCACACCAACTGCTACATTATGTCCATCTGGACGTTTTAGGCTGCAATTTAATCTTCATATTGGGCGGGAATTCAGCTGTTGTAAACGCTTCTCTTGATATCAACCTCTTCTTGCCTTAAAATATTTCCCTCAGACCTATAGTAAATGAGACCTTGGTACCCAATCGGTACTGCTGATGCACTGACAAATACACCTGTGTATTACAAGGATAGGAGAGGCAAGGCAAAGTGTAACACAAATACATATGGTCTGCGGGTCGAGATGTGTGCCTAGATAGGAACTGTGATGACCAACAGGAAATCACCTGTATGGGAAGCTCTCGCTGCCCGGAGACGAGCTTTGTTTTTCTCCCGATACACACTTAACCATTGCTGAGGTGATGTCTCACCTATAACTGGAGTATAACTGGAGAGGGTTTCGGGGGTCAACGCCCCTGCGGCCTGATCTGAGACCAGGCCTCGTGGTGGATCAGGGTCTGATCAACCAGGTCATTACTGCTGGCCGCACGTAAACCAACGTACGAACCACAGCCTGGCTCATCAGGTACAATTGACCTATACAGTGGAACCTCTGGTAGCGACCATAACTCGTTCCAAAACTCTGGTCGTGACCCAAACCTAATTTCCCTATTGGATTGTGTGTGAATACGATTAATCAATTCTAGACCCCTACGAGCTGTTTGTAAATATTGATTTTTTAAAGATTTTGAAACACAGAAATAGTTAATTATGCCATAGAATGCACAGTGTAATAGTAATCTAAATGTAAAAAACCTTGAAGAACACTGAGAAAACCTTGAAAAAACAAAACAAAAAAAAAATAACATTGCAAGAGTCAGTTCTAGACGCCTACGAAACTTTCGTTGTAAACAGTTTTTTTTAAGCGTTTTAAGCACAGAAAAAAGTAAAGTTTTGAAAATCTTTAATTGTACAAAATAATGCACAGTTTAACCCTTAAACTGTTTAAACGTATATCTACGTTTTGAAAAAAAAATCTTTGTATTTTAAATGAAGAGGGCTGTCCCGGTGATAATATTTGTAGTTGATAGGGGGAAACTGATCTTGTTGAGGAGCTGGATAGAGCATCCAGAGCCTTGCTCCATTTATGAATACTGAGTCGTGAACCCTATCGTTGTCCCTGAGGTGTCTGGGAAGACTCGCTGTTACAAGTTCGCTGGATGCCACACATAATGACAGAATATTATGACTCCTAGTTGGACTAGTAGTGTAACTTAGTCCCACTGCCCATATTTTTAGAGTAAGGTTGAACCACACTTATTAATATTGACCTTAGGAGGCTTATACTTCTTTAGTTTTGGGTTGTCATATGAGGGTACACATCTTAAGAAATGTTAGCCGGGCAAGTTCAAGCACTGTGTGAGAAGTTATAAAAGCATCATGGGCGTCTAGATGGCTGATATGTTGTTCTATCCTCCTCGAAT